AAGGCTTCTTTGTTTACTGATGGCAACTTCAGTACTACTGTAGTCGAGTCGAGTAAATAGACAAGGCCCATTGAAAAGGAGATGTCTTTCTCTTGTCTACCGATTTTAGTGCTACTATAACATTGTAACGATGGCGATCATCATAGCCAAAGTGTTGAGTTCTGTGAAAATGTGTCATATTATGTAATTTGGTTTTCAAGTTAACCTGTCCACTGAATCTGCGATTCTGGCTTTTAAACACTTTAGTAGCAGTAGAGCTCCTTGTGAAAGAGTTCGTCCAAGGAAGTACTGCCACCTTACCTATTTCTGCCGCCAAGCAGTAATGTGAGCATTATTGCGTTCCGATTTTGAAAGGTAAGGGTGCTGGTGAAATTACAGGCATATGGGACTTGTCAACTTATGTCTCAGAGTGACGGGCGCAGTGGCAGTGCTCCTCATCTTTGCGATTTAGCAGGGCAGGCGTGTCGCTTACCATCAGGTGGACGCCTTTCGGTCGTCCCGTCATGTGTATGCTTTCTAGACTTATCTAAATTCTTTGATATATCACACGATCTCATGCGGTCTAAGTTACGAAGTTACCAGTACTTGGTAACTTCGTACTACTCGAATTGGTATCAGTTTTTAACCGACTCCAAAAAAGGAGGAAGTTATCAATTCCGTTGTTTTTCTGTGTGTGTTATGTTATGTTACGCGATTGTTCCGACAATTGTAAACTGATTTCGATGATTCTTTTTTGTTGAAAACGGTGTACCTACGGTCTCATACAAATTTGAAAAAAATATTTCATTTCATTTCTAAGGGTGGCAACGGCGCGACAACTAATTTGCCACTGTGAATCCGTTTTATTGGATTTCCTTTATCGTATAGATTGATATGGTTTATCGTATTTTTAACGATCGTTGTTTATTGTAATTAGTAGATTCAGGCGTTACCTAGTGAAGGTTGAATCGTGTAAAATGCTGCATTGACGAGCGAGGTTCGCGCAGTCAACAGCCCCTGAGGATACTACCTTACCGAGCCCAGCCCCAAACTGCCTCCGTGGCCGAACGGTTACCATGCCGGACTGCCACTGCCACATTCCCGGGCCGGGAGAAATAGTTGTATGGCCTACAATTATTTCTCTCGTGAGTTTGGGTGTAAGTTGTGGTTGTCTATGTGTGTGTCCATGGCACCCGCGACACAGGGTTTCCCTGTGCGGGGCTATGTTGAGTGTGTGCGGTAAAAAAAAGAAAAAAAGAAAGAAAAAGGATGCCTCGTGGAGAGGCGAAACACGTGTCGGGTGTAGTTTTGATGGTGATTTGTGATTGTAGTTGCGCTTGTGTTATTTATTTTATTAATTTTATGCGGAGGGAGGGTGGGATAATTAAATGCATGAAAAAATACTCAACACAAGCGCAGCTATTTTGCACGATTTAACCTTCACTGGGTTCGCGGGGTAGCAAATTAATTTACTTCCATTTTTATTTCGTCGTTTAATGGTAAATACCTAAACCATATTCGATCTATCAAAACATACCTCCTGTGACTCGCTTTAATACTCCCAGAGAGATATCGAGCATTTATATTCCTGACCGGAAAAAAAACAGCCGATTTAAAAAGTACACAGGTAGGCACTTAATATCTTTAACAATATGCTATTTTAAATAAAACAAACTTTTTTTTGTATTTTACTATATTTTATTGATATAATTTTGTACAAATAACGGCATATTATACAACGGACAGGTTTCACATACAAAACTAACACTAGTCAAGCTATTCGTATGTCACAAGTAGATTCTACATATAAATTTAGTTTATACGAACTCAAAATATAATTATATAGTTCAATTACATAATTTAAAGAACTTAAAAGTTAGTAGAATAGATAGAACTCTAAAAATGAAAGAATACTTTTATATTTAGAGTCTCATTTATTTTGACTAGAAGCAATAAGAAT